ATAAAGTGTTGTAGCTTCCATATGCATCACATAAAGTGTTGTAGCTTCCATATATATTCACATAAAGTATTGTAGCTTCCATATATATTCACATAAAGTATTGTAGCTTTCATATATATTCACATAAAGTATTGTAGCTTCCATATATATTCACATAAAGTATTGTAGCTTCCATGTACATCACATAAAGTGTTGTAGCTTCCATATACATCACATAAAGTGTTGTAGCTTCCATCTACATCACATAAAGTATTGTAGCTTCCATATACATCACATAAAGTGTCGTAGCTTCCATATATATTCACATAAGGTGTTGTCGCTTCCATCTACATCACATAAAGTGTTGTAGCTTCCATATGCATCACATAAAGTATTGTAGCTTCCATATATATTCACATAAAGTATTGTAGCTTCCATATACATCACATAAAGTGTTGTAGCTTCCATATATATTCACATAAAGTATTGTAGCTTCCATGTACATCACATAAAGTGTTGTAGCTTCCATATACATAACAGTAAAGTGTTGTAGCTTCCATATACATCACATAAAGTGTTGTAGCTTCCATATACATAACAGTAAAGTGTTGTAGCTTCCATATACATCACATAAAGTATTGTAGCTTCCATATACATCACATAAAGTGTCGTAGCTTCCATATATATATTCACATAAAGTGAATTGACTACATTAGTCTGACTCAGATTCTGATATGTCAAAGTTCAAGGTGATGTTCATGTGAAAATAAAACTACTTTTGTCCATCATATAGTTTGCATATCTGCCACACCTCTAGAACTGCCAAAATTCATATCTACAGTTTCTGTCAGTACCCCTGTACATTGTGTCTTGTATTAACTCTCTACCACAAACTGTTGCTAAACAAGCAGTGTGGGATTATATGAGTAGTTGATAACTCAGACATCAAATATGTATTACCATGTTGAATGGCACTCTTTAAGAATTTGTGGTGTATGCTCTTTGACCCCACCCATTATCACAGGGTGAATACTTTTTTAAGTGGTGAACTAGACTAAGTAAAGGCCAAAGCCTGCCTAGCTGGTTCTCTTACTGGAATAGTAACATGTTTCTGAGTTATTCTTGTCAGCAAATCAGATAATAATTGTGAACACAATTGCCTTGATCTACACTGCCCATTGGTCATCTGATCTAACAAGAACCAGTAACTGCTTTCTTGTATCATAAACTGGAAAGTTTATTGATATATTTAAGGTGGTGTTTGAACTTCGAAAAGCAGACTTTGCAGAAAATTAATGAAATTTGCATAAGAGTGCTTAGAGATTTACAAAGTTTATATACATTTTCAGGCAGTGATGTGTGTGTGTATTTCCTTCTTTAAAGTCTGTAAATATTCAGCAAAAATTTCATTGAGTTTCTGCTGTATTTTCCCTTACTTTTACTTTTGTGTGAGTAGTAGTCCATGTAAATCTTTTTGTTGTTTGTTTTCTTGTTTGTGTGCATGCTGTTAACAGGCTTGTTTAACATTTTTTGCTTCATATTAAAAGTGAATCGTTGGTTTAGTCATGTTAAGTGTGAGGTATCTTTAGAATTTCTGCATTTTAGTGATGATTTTATACATGAAGTCCAAGGAAAAGTTTGGAGTTTACTGAGGTTAGCAAGGATTGATATTACTGTTTCTTAAATTAACTGGAGTCATTTTCTTTTTAACTCCTTTTCTTCACTTAGTCTAACTTACAAAGGGGAACTTCATACACTGACAAGAACTCTTTGTTCAGTAACGCCTTCTTCATTAAGCTCTTGTCAGTCACACACACACACATACACCGGTCAATTGTACACTTTATTATATTGTATTATTGTGTTGTAACTTGCAGAGTATTGTTTATTGTATTTTGTTAACTGTGAAACATTAAACACTGTTGTTTTTGTGAATATGTGTCTTGTTGTCTTCTCTGTGATTTAACAACCACAACTCATCAGGAAGTCCACACCCAAGCCCGATATCTGAGAACCTCTAGATGTTAACATGCCTAACTTCTTTACTCTATTTGTTATCCAAGAGATATCTCAATACTATTTCAGTACAAACTCTTATAATGACTTTTCATCACTGACCTTGCCAGTTCTCCTTTGTAAAACTCCTTCTTATACTCTGTTACTAGCTGAGGTACATGGGAAAAACACCCCTTCCCCATGTCAATTACCAGGGGACCCTTCTGGTACATACCAGGTTTGGTGAAAATCAACAAAGCAATTCAGTGGTTCACACGTTATAAGCAGACATACACCTACACTTTTGTCAATTGATAGTTCTGATGGTTCACTGTATAAAAAGTTTTGACATGTGTATATGTTATAAAAATGTTATTCTTTATTTTCATTATTATAGTTATGTATATGTTCTCTTATTATTCATCCCTTCATCTGTTTTGAATACTTTGCAATGAGTTTATTAAAAAGATAAACTAACTTACCATGTGGAAATATATGTTAAATTGTTCATTTATGTTGAAATTATTAAAAGGTGAATTATTTCTTTTACTGAAGCTAATATGTATTAATATTATTATTCATTCTCAGGTGTGGCAGTGGCAATTGGGAGCTCTCTCTGTTTTCCTGGCGTGGATAGTACTAGTCATGTTCATTCGCAAATTTCCTGTTCTTGGGATATATGTAAACATGTTCACTGACATTCTACGCACATTCTCAAAATTTTTTATTGTCTTTTTCTTATTCATTGTTGCTTTTGCTTTTGGATTTTATACTCTTTTGCAGAATCAGGTAATTTGCTTTTTAGGTGTATTAAACCATATTCTGTCCTTAAAAAGTTGTTTATAGATTGGAAAAAATTAGATTATTAGATAAACACCAAATTAATTAACATTACATTATCATAATATAACTAAAAATCTGGATGTAAATGTTAATCTTTTATAATTCATTGCTTCTGGTCTTTCATTGTTTAAACTGGGGTGAAAGATTGAATGTATCTTGTAATTGATGAATATGTTTAACATAAGTACCTTCCTATGTTATTGTGATCTTTTATTGCTTATTGATGAAGAGCATTCAAATGTTATGAGAAGTTTTTAACTCTTTCTAGCTTGGTGGTAGCATTCATAAAAGTTATAACCTGTAAACATCACTATATCTGAAACATGCATTTCAAATGAAACCATTGAACATTTGTAAATTTATGTCACAAGTTTTTGGTGAATTTACAATCTGTCATGACAGGAAAACGACTATGTGATATAGCTATATACTGTGTCATTACATTTTATTTAATGTAACTTAATGTTGTCATGTGCTCTCATAAAAAAACACAAGATACCAGATAGGAAAGAGAGAAATAAATTAAATAAAAAGGAAAGCTTAACATTTTAATATGTTCTTTCAACATTTTTTCTGTAAAAAAATTATGATGTTAAAATATCGAAAAACAGTGGAAAAGCTTTTAAAGTGTTAATCAGTGTTTCATTGTGTATAAAGACTTATCTGCCTCAGATTAATATAGAATGAAAGTTTTAAAAATATCACTACAGTGTATGGTCAGGGATATGTTTTGTAAATTAAATAGTTTTATAAAATAGCTATACACACTATTTGAATAAAGTATTTTCAGTTGTTGATAAGTACAAAACTATAGGATGGGCTAACTGTGCTATGCCCATCATGGGAACTGAACCCTAAATTTTTTGCATTATAAGCTCTCAAGATTACTGCAAAATCATCATGAGACTGGATAAAATAAATAAGTTTTAAGTAACCACACGTAATCTATTCAAGTACAAAAACAACAGTTTCATAACTTCCAATGGAATATTTTATTTTCATATTACTCAAGAATACCTCCTCTTTGTGGCTGCTATAATAAATGTAGAACTGGAAGTTTAATTGACATAATCTAGCACATATAAGCATCAATTAATGTCACATAAATTAATTGATTAATGTTACAAACGTATGAACTAATTGAAATAACATTTCGAGTAATTACTGTTTTTGATTATTCGAACCAACTATCCAAGTAATCAAGATAATGTCATTTTTATTTATCATTAGTGTTTTTGATTAGTTCAAGGGTATTCAGCTTTAATAAGTTAGTGTCACAACTTACAAAAATAATCATCTAATTGAAATTGGTTTCCCATAATTACTGTTTTTAGTTATTCCAACTGTTTAATCTCATGTGAGAATAGCCAATTGATTGAATTCAATCAATTAATGAGCCTGAAAATTAATCAGTTATCTAGTTCAACTAATTGTCCAACTCTAATGGCCAGTGATTTTACTGTATTACCACTGATGTCCATATTATTTATGATAACATCTCCAAGTTATACTCTTTAACAGCACCTTTAACCCCCAGAAATTTTGACATTGGTTCAAATATAATGAATTTGATAATCATATAACTTGTTTTAACATATTTTAAAACTTACATGGCTTTTTCTTAGCAGCAGATCCTTTTTTTGGCAAATTGGAAGTTTTATATTATTCCTTTTATTTGAATGGTTCTTAATGATTTTCATAAGCCTTGTTCTAGTTGTAGTTATAAAAATAATTTTATATAATTCACCTGTTTAGTTGCTCACTATCCTACCATTTGATTAAACAACCCCCATAGGAATTTGTCATTAACCCAAAATTATGTACATATATCTCAGCTATTATTAGTATGGTAAATTTCTTAAAATCATCTCTGAATGTCTTTTTGATAATTATTTCAGTTTAAGTATAATGGAATCTTCAAAAGCAATTAACTCTTAAAACTTATAAGAACTTAATTTTTTTTTTCCATAGGATCCCTTTGAAAACATTGGAGAATCTATACTGAAAACTAGTGTTATGATGATTGGAGAGATAGAGTTTGACAGTATCTTCAATGATAGTGAGAACCCAATTCATTTTAAACCACCAACCTACATCTTGTTTGTCATCTTCCTCATCTTAATGTCCATTATCATCATGAACCTATTAGTTGGTCTTGCAGTAGATGATATAAAGAGTGTACAAGAACATGCAGCTCTTACACGTCTTGCAATGCAGGTGAATGTTTCCAGGAATTATTTATTGCAAAACTAGTATCCATTAGTTACATGAACTATAATCTGCAAGTATATTAATATATAGTGTGAAATGGTACTTCATGTGTATCATTAGTATTTAAGTAGAAGCACACAGAATCTGCAGTTACTTACATATTGCTTGCTTTTAAACACAAATATTAAAGAGCATTTATTAAAAACAAATATCCCTTCGTAAGAGCCTAACTTTGTTGTAAAGTAGTGAATAAAAAAAGATCTAAGTCAATCTAACGTAGTTGTTAAGAATAGTGTGTGTGCACTAACTAGAAAGAGGGGGGGCATTAGCATTCATTCACTGCATAATGATAAACTTTGGTATAGATTACAATTTTATGGGGGGGGGTTTCCATATTTTTGGAAAAATAAAGAAATATAGTTGCACATTTAGCTATTCAAATTGTATTGGAAAGGCTGAAGGGATAAATAAACCTGGAATAAAAAATACAAATGTGTTAAAAGTAAAATCTACCCTTAAATGAGAGGTATCTGCAGAAATAGGACCCAAATAGTAATGGTAATATATTGTCAATCAGGTATAATCTCTGTTTCTAAGCCTTATATTTGAAAATAAATCAGAACTTAATGTTACTTAATTAGATATTTCAGAATTTATAATAACTGAAATATTTTTTATGGTCACTTTTTAGTTCTATGTCGTCATTGTAATGGATTTCAACAAAATACTTTATTAACTTTTAAAAAAGTACTTACTATTATAAATTGTTACTAAAATTAGAAATAACAACAGAGAAGCCTTTTTCCATACTTTTAAAAATTATTACAGTAAGGAATAAATATTTTCATTGTTTAATTACACTATACTTGTTTTGGTTCTTACCACATGCCAAGGTTACTTTGTATCACTAGCACTTACAGTAATTTATGTTTATTCATTCTACTGAGGGAAAAGAAAGGTTGTCTTCGTACAAATGTTTCTTTTGGAACAAGTTGAATAATAAATTTCCATTTACAGTAACATTTTGTTTTAAGAGTAACTAAATTTTTGTTACTGGCTACAAATACTAAATAGGAGTTTTATATGTGGGATCTTATAGGCTTAAACACCCGTATTTGCTTCACATTAATTCATTTTCAAATTACACTTATGTGATGCTTGTAATTAGTGATTACATATATAGATGGTATATCCTTACTGCTAGGTGGGTACGCCTATTGCAGACAGATATTTCTCTGACAAGGATGCATTTTATGTTTCTCACATATTTATACTCTATTGTTACTATGTTCTCACGTGCGAGTTTTCTTTATTTCTACCTTACTCGTTTGGAACATTGTAAAAAAATCATTCAAGATAAGCTTGTTGAGTTATGCTTTCTTTTTGTTTATGTAAAAATTAATATAATATGTTGTGTTGTATCTTGTATTGTTTCTACTCTTAGTAATAATACAGTAAAATTTTTTTGATAATTTTTTTTTACTAGCTATTGATAACTTATTGCTCCTGTTCAAGAAATTAGCAAATAGATTCAAAATCCTAATTATTGACGAATTTGTTAGTATTATTCATTTATAAATAAAAACAAAAGATATAACCAAATTTTCAAAAATTAAGCATAACATTTTAACTAGCCATTACACATTTTGAATCTACATTTTCTCTGATCTTTGTTTCAGTGCTGTTGTCAGCAATTAGTTACAACTTCCTTGAGTAAATTTTTCTTTTTCATTGATCTTGCACAAGTACCGTTTAAATTCTCAAGATTTACTACACTTCTGTTTAAGAAGCTAGCTTAAATAAAAGCAATGTGTTTTTGTTTTTCTAAAAGTATTTTTGAAATTTTTAAAGATTGTTTATATTTTTGTCAATATAAAACACTTGTATTTATTACTTTTATTATTAATAACTTTAAAAATGATTTTGTTTGTTATAAGGTGGACTTGGTACTGAATGTAGAAAGCATACTTCCTATAATTTTTCGTCGACATTGTATCCAACAAAAACAGACTTGCTACCCAAATGCATGGAAGACACAAAACAGATTTGTCAGAATGTTAATGTTCTACAAGGAAATGAATTTATACTTAGAACCACCAAAGGTATGTATTTTGTTTTTTTACAAAAGTTTTAAAACCTTATTCCACTAAAATGTAAATCTTTTGTTTCAAAAATGTTTGTTTTTGTTTTTTCAATCAGACTGCTGTAATGAAAATAGAGGAGCAACAGGAACTGATATCCAAAAAACTGTCCTATATGCAAGAAGAGCTCCAACAACTGAGGAAGCAGAACAACCGTCTTCAACATCTTTTGATGACAGTTGCTGAAAATTCAGGAATTGAATGGCACGATGAAGACCAGTTTAACATCTGAATTGTTAAAAGAGAAAGTTTACAGCTTTTAGTGACTGATTATTCATACTTGCATTGTATTTAGTTGTTAATATAAAAGAAAATATTGAATTATTATTCTGTTCATAAACAAAATAATTTTTATGTTCCAGTTTTTTGTTTTGTATAAGAAACTTATCCTAAGTAGTTTTTGAAAGGGCATATTTTTTAAAGCTCTGTTTTACCAAACTTGTGACTTGTGTAATATATTAAATAACTTCTAACAAACTTTAAATAATGTATGTTTTATTCATTACTGTACATATAACTTTACTAATACCTTGATTTTGATCAAGAAAAAACCTATTTTTCATTTCTGTTTACCCAATATATCTACATCAAAATTTTTTAATGAATGGCCAGTTGTTTTTAAGTTGACATTCAACTTTTATGAAAAAATATCATGTATATTACAGTGAATACATAATGTATTGATTGTTTTTATTCATTTAAAAAAAATACCAGAAAAGTTTCATAATCATTTACTTCATTTATCTACATGAACAAAGTATTTATAATATTGATATGAATGATTGTATTAAACAACTGATAACTAAGAAAAGTTGTTTTTTAAATGATGTAGTTTAATATAAGAAGTAAATTATGAGCATTTCATCCAAAGACATTGTTAGTAATACAATAGAACATTGAGAACTACTTACAATTTTAGGTATCAATTTGTTCCTAGGAACACGGTTGTTTGCTCATACCTGTTTGTGTAAATACAAGGAACAAGATTGTAACCCCTTCACGGTGTAAAATTATTAATACTCTATTTCTTAAATGATAAACTGATTTTTGTATAAGAACTAAAAACCATACATTTTAAATTGAATTTGAAGTAAAACATATGAACTATAACAAAATTCAATGAATTAAAGTTTAGATATTGTACATGAAAATTGTGTTATTGAAAAATTACCAAATAATTTCTATTAATTCTGAGGGCATATTGTTTAAGTACGTTGGGTGATACTTCTTTTTTTATTTTTTGGTAGTATGTTTTATAACTTGAAATGTTTAGACTTGTGTTAAACAATTATAATGCCACTTACCTGATTATATGATGGGGTAAATATTTAATTAGAAATGTTTTATAATATTTTTGTACAATTTTGCATTTCAAGTTATAAGTTCTAGATAGCCCAGTGAACATTTTCAAGTTGAATGTTTCAACTCGCTCAAGTGTTTTAAGTCAATTTTACAAAGTTTCAAAATCAAGATATCTGAGACAATGATATTGTCATTTTAACAAATTTTATATACTTTGAATTCTTATTCATTGTGTTTTTTCCTTGTTTTGATTCCACTTTATTAATGAATTTTATTCTCTTGTTATAATTGTTTTGATATTTTCACTACATGAACACTGGTCACAAAAATGTTATTGTATTTAATGGTTTATATGTCCTTCATTAGGAAATTCATCTTTATAAGATGAAATTTATCAATCGGTTGTATTATGTTTATTTTCTGAGGATATTTAAATTTGTTATTATAAGTAACTTGGTGTTTGTAATGATTAGCAATATGTTTGAATGAGTTGTGTTTTAAAGTTTGTTCTGAAACATTTGTTTTTCTCAAATGAGAAAATTCCTGAAACAGAAAATTAATTTAGTATGTAATGTGCCAAATTATTGCACTTTAAAATTGGTTACTAGTTAAATAGCTATATATAAATATACATGATTCTTCCAATTGTTTTTAGTACAAATGTGATTTCAAATGTTCCATTTTACCAAATAACCTAATGTGTAAAAGTTACACATTTATGAAGTTTGTAACTATACACTTAAATCTAAGTAGACTCATGATTGTAGGTAAAATTTATTTCATAAAATCATGTTTTAGTGTTGTGAGAAATGTGCTGATTCAGAAAATTAAAATCTCATCAGGGCATGTTATACTTAAATATTTTGTTTAAAAGAAATATAGTTATTTCCTTCATTAAGTACATGAACAAAGTAGTTATGTTATTGATATGACTGATTTTATTAAATAATAGATAGTTAAGAAAAACTTTCTCAATATATGCATACACCTGTATTTGTTATTTTTATGATCAATCACTGAAAAGAATGATTTTGTTTTTCCAAAAAGTAAACTTGGTATTACAGTTTACAGTTTTTAATGAATGATGATTCAAATTTGTATTTTTTAAAAATGAGTTTTAAATGTTACCTATACATTTCCCATTTAACAAAAAAAATGTATAATTAAATAAAGTGTGTTGATTGTGAAATTTATAATTCACTTGTTTTTAATTGACTAAATCTTTTTGAAGATATTTACTAATCTGTTGTATGAAAGATTGACTACATTCTGTAGGTTCCACTGCCTTAAAAAGAAATTGGCATGATAGGTAAGTGTTAAAAGTGTAATATATCTAAGCATTGTGAACTAGATAATGTTACACCCAAATATATTTTATTTCACATTACAGTTTTAAATGGTTACTTTTATAAAAAGCACAATTCTTAGAAAATTCAGAAAGTGTCTAAATTGTTATGGTTACATAAACCACTTTTCATGTGTTCTCTCTGCAAATAAAATAATTCCTTGAAGCATCTTTAAAATTCACAAAAAGGATTTAATAATGAAAGACTCTTTTAAAACCATCATATTTGTAAAGGTTTTGTAATGAATGAAAAAAAAATCAAGTAAGGTAATTTACTTGTTCCAAACACATACATTATTAGCAATGGTAATGACCAAAAATGCTTAATCTGGTTGTTCCAACTAATACAAAGTACCATTGTTATGGTTAGTAACTTATCCAATCATCTAAGTGTAATTTTTAACTATTAATTTTTATTATCATCATTATTACTAGGTGCTAATTAATTCACATCTTACATTTGGATGCTGCCATCTTTTTAGTCCTGAGAAATATATTGTGGCAGTTGCCACAATTTGATCCTGGAATTTCTTGTTAGAAAGGCTAGTGTGCCATCCACTTGTTTTAGGCCTGAAACAGTTTGGCTCTGATGTAAGATTGTTATTACACCAAATGAGCAACCTGTAAAACCTGTTATAGCACAGAACCAATGTTTTCCTTACTTAGCTATCAAAACATAAAGTCCATCAAAGAGAAAAGAAACAGCATGATAAATATTAATACAGTGGAACCCAGCTTAATAACCACCCAATTAAAGTTACGTAGCTTCAAAAAATCAAATTCTTACTTCAGTGCTTTTATGTTTATTCACTCTCGTAATAAGACCACTCCACTATTATGGTTTACAACCAATAAATCAATACCAATTTCATTGTTATTATTGATTTTACACCCCATTAAAATGACCACCAAAGCAGTTCAGTGTTAACTGGCTAATGTACCAGGGCATTGTATCACTGAAAAATTACTCGGGAACAGTTAGTGACAGGATACAGCTATTAGTGTAACATTCAACTTCAAGGCTATTAACCAAGTAAATTTACAGTATAAGCATTAACTCTAAAAAAACAATAACTATGGAAAATTAAAAGGTCACAATTTGACTTTAAAAGAAAAAGTAAATTTAATAAATAAAGATTAATGGGAAAAGTCTGTGGCAGCTCAGAGAGTCATTTTTAATTGGCAAAATGCAGAACTTGTCAATATTAAAACAAAAGACAGAAATCGTGGAAGGGTATGACCAGAATAAATAAAAATGACAGAAAATGTCTTTATATATTTGTTATGCAGTCAAACAGCTGAATGTGTTAATGAGAGTGATTTCAATGCATCTAAAGTCAAGGTGTTCCAATGTTAGGTGGCTTACTAAAGTAAATGAAATTATTGTATGATTCTGAACTTGGTATTGCCAAAACATAATTAAAAGCTTCTAGTAACTATCTGAACAGATTTCATTAAACTCGAAAATGTGTGGAGAAAATGCTAGTATTTCAGTAAATGCTGTGAAAGACTGGACTGAAAGTTGCCAGTTATGCATCGTGTAATATTTATAGTTTGTGAAACTGGTATACTTTATTGTTCTCAATGATACAAAATGTTGGCAATGTGTGGTAAAGCTTGCAATGGTTGAAATCATTCAAAGGAGAAAATAACCATGATTATTTGAATAAATGTGAAAAAGACAGTTTTAGAAACAAGCAGTTATTGAAATATCTACATCACACATCTGCCAGTGACATGGAAGTTAACAGTAAAGCTTGGATGACTTGAACAACGTTTAAAGAATGGATATCACTTTGACTAACAAAATGAGACACAGAAAAAACAATTTTGCTACTTTTTAATAAAGCTCCTGCTCCCGGAATGTAAAACCAACTAACATGAAAGGTGTATTTACTTGCAAATACAACATTTAAACTGTGACCACTAAACCAGGGAATAAAAGTTCACAAAATTATAAGAAATCTCAGTTTAGGTCAACCAGATGTAAAAACCAACCAACATGAAAAGTTGTATTTACATACAAATACAACATTTAAATTGCAACCACTAAATCAAGGAATAAATTTTCACAAAATTATAAGAAACACATGTTTAGGTTGATCCTTGCTAAACTGAGCAGTTATAAGATTTTTAAGACAGATTACAATGTAAAAAGTATAAGTGTTATTTTCTGTTATCATTTTTTGCTTTTCCTTCATTTGTAATACAAACACATATGAATGTGTCTCGATGACCATTACTTAATGGCAAGAGTTTCAGTGTTCAGTTATTTTTCCAATTTTATAAGCACCCATGAAGCCAGAAGCTTATAGATCTCTTGTTTGTCTCCTGGTTTTGATATTATCTATATGTGTTTTGGTGTTTTTTGTTTTACCAACTCTGATTCACTGGTTTCTCTTAGAGTAATTGGATAGGAACTGCAGGAACTTTGCCAGAAAATGTATTGAAGAGCAGGTATATTTCTCTGTCCTTGACTGTTACACAAAGAAAAAGAGACTGGCACAAGCTTACACACAGTAACACAAGCTTTATTTGAATCATACAACAATCAAAGTAAAATGTTAGTGTAAGTGTGGCATTTTTACTGGAGAATAATGTTCAGTTAAGTAAAAGTTCTTAACATTCAAGTTGAAATTATATAAAAAGTTACCATAGTTCAAGTTAAAGGTTGTATAAGTACTATTCAAAGTTATTTCAGACTGACAAAACATCACAATATATACTAATAACAACAATGCCATACTTTTCAGAGTGTATAGCACTACCTGTGTGACTAATGACCACTCATCTTACCAGTAGAAAAAAAGTATTGTAAATGCTATATAAGATATGCTTTGTTACAACAATTGCTCCTACTACAAAGTAGGACTCTTTGACTGACTTTTTGTATTAAGCCCAAAGTGCATAGGTATGCAAAGGAATTTTGAAAAGAACAACAGTCTACATAAGCATAACTATGTGTATTCTCAGGTTTTAAACTGACTTCTGCATAGAATATTAGATATCTCCACTTTATAATTGAAGGATTGGTGGTATAAATTATGAGGTATTAATGAATTTAACCAAGCTGAAACAATCTATTTCAATCAAGAGTGTGCATACTTGTTTCTGGACATTAAGTGGTTGCCTTCTACAAGATTCGTGAATTAATCAACTGGTTTTCACAATTTTTTTTTTCGTCAACCAATTCACTTAAGATTCCATGTACTACTGTTTAAATCTAACTTAATGGAAAGCTTCAGGTTTATCCATAGTGTCTAACACCCACCTATGTGACTGTACACTTTCTCATTAAACATAGGAAAGGCTATAGCATCTAGACATTGTCTGC